GTTATGCCCAATTTTAAAATTGGCTTCAAGGATTTGGGGAGGCAGGCTAACATGCGCGAGATGTTTCATTTCTCAAGAATTTCTTTCCGTTTTGGAATTTAGGTTCGATTTCTCAACTTCTGAGCATAATAGTAGGAATAACCGTAACCGTGATTCAAAGAAAAGTTTCGGGATGGAATGAGGTGTGGAAAAGCGTTCAGTTATGAAGCTAGAGGTGGAGGTGGTCTGTAAAAGAGAAGGAAAGCAAACGAAACCACCGATTACGCCCCGCACAGAGACCTCCCCTATTTCAGCCGCATTCCACCTTGGGATAGAGAAGGGGCGCGTTGGACGAGTTTCACGAACCTAACTCTAGTTGCTCCAGTGCCAATGACATTGGGTCGCAATGGGACCGCTGCCTCAAATGCGCCCGCGCTTTCCAAGCAGTGCACGTGGCAACCGAAAGGGTAGGCTTCACATGGCGGAACGGTGTGTGTGCGAGGTCGGACGAGCTCTTGCGCCTTTTGTGTACCCTCTAGCGGCCCAAAGCGGGCGCGACTCCAAGTTGTTCACCTGTCTATGGCTATCCGGGATTGAAACAGGGAAGTTTCAGTTCCGTTTACCTGACGAGGTCGTGCCAGCTTCGTCACACAAAGTGACAGTTCGCTTAGGGCGCTAATCGTTAAGAACTTGCAACCATCGCAGGCGATTGATACGGAGATCAGGCGTACTTCTCACACGGCGTGCTCTCTCGCGTCCTCGTGCCTTCTCTGCTCATTTCTGTCTCTCCTTCGTACCACATCCGACCTTACCTCAGCTTTCTGATTTAACACCTTTCATGTTGCGCTTCTGAAGATCTCGCTTGCTTTCTTCTCCACGTTCAGTCCGCAGCTCATTAATCACTGCGAAGCCCACTTAAGCACTAGTTTCACCATTGGCCTGTCTGTAACGTTGCATACTAGCAATTCTCGAGCCGCAGCGCGCCAGTTTCTTCTACAGGAAACTTATTCCACGGGTTTTGTTGGTCTGCTCTAAGTTAATCAGGGATATATCAACCGATAAATCAACGGCAAATGCTTTATCCTTTTATGCTTTATATCAATCGTCTAGACCTCCCGAAAAAGTAGATGAAGCGAAGTTATGGATGTTAGTATGAGTCGATTTATCACGTGTAGCACCTTCGCTGAGTCAGGATAGAAGAATCATCGGATATTCGCCAGTTAGGAATTAGCAGTATTACTGTCTGATCGACTAGCCCTCCTAGCAGTTTTTCGCCAGCATGAAATTGTAGAAGTATCGCCCTCGCAGAAAAAATAAGGTATCGAAAAAATGAACTTGAGCTGAGGAAGGTTGAGAAGCCTCACTGCTTCCCGCGTGACGCCCGCGTGTGTTTCCCTTTTAACGACTCTGCCGGTTTCACTCATTTTACTTTATTTTCGTTCTTTGATTCCCCTTGTACAAATTTTTATATCTACCCCCTACCTTCTTGTTCTTCTGATACAGCAGAAGGGTCAAGTATGCTCCGCTGAGGCTCTAACAAACCAAAAAAATAAGGGGCCGTAAGCTACCCTGCCCGAAGGGGCACTGTAAAATTTCCTTTTCCTTTGAATTTCTCTGTTCCCATCTGGGATTGCCCTGATAAAGAAGTGCATTTAATGTATGTATGTAGGTAAAAGTAACCATGCACTGAAAATGAAGAAACTATATCGTTCATAAACAAATAAATTTGAAGGAAACTTTGGATCACTTATAGTTTCGGTCGGGGAAGGATAGCACACGGCCCAAGGTGAAGAGCGATACTGAATCTAGAACACACTCAGGGTTCATTTTTAGCCCTATTATGGAAATCGAGCGGAGGTGGTGTAGTGCAAGTGGCTTACCACGCGAGCGGTCCGGGATCAAATCCTGGGTCGTGAGTCGCCCGGGCCAACCAAGCCTTCCATCCCTCCGGGGTCGGTTAATTGGTACCAGACTTGTCTGGGAGGATAAAAACACTGACTTGTACATCGGCTGGCCCCCGCAAGTCATTGTATAGGCCACATCGCATTCAAACGCCACTACGAATGTACAAATGGAAGTAGAATGCGTGCCGCATCCCAAAAAGGGATTGATCAACGGCAAATGCTTTATCCTTTATCCTTTATTAGGTGAAATCCGTTCGTATATTTTAAGTGAAAGGTGAAAACCTTGTCTGAGAACAGGAATGCCCGTCGCACCTCGTGGACAGTAGAGACGTTGCGGACGTAGGACGACTTTCGGTGACGTAGTGCTGTCCGGTGATGATCGGAGACGATGTGTCTCGTCGACGACGAAACGTCGTTGGTTCCCATCCAAAGCCATCATTACACATATGAGATGTGATCTGCAAAAAATTGGCATGAGAAAAGTGCAGACGAGAGCGTACGTTGACGGCGAGCTAACGAGGGAGACGCATGACCGTCGACGTCAAGGCGCCTTGACCGACCGACTGGCTGCACGTGGAGGACGCACGAAACGAGAAGGGACGTGCACTTAATCGCTCTACTACGTCTTCTTCTTCACTGACCACACTTCACAGTGATTGGCTCAAAGTATACGGCCTAGGTGGTGAGGCGGTAGGAGTCTCCCATAATGTATGTGGTGGATCGAATTTGGCCCAGGCCAACTGAGTACTGAATCCCTACAAGATGTGTCAGTAGATATTAGACTTCAGGTAAAAGGTACGAGAGGTAAAAGCCATAGTATAGGTGAAATCGCATTCAATGATACCACGATTACGAGTGCAAGTAGAGCGCGTGGCGCATCCCAAAAAGAGATCGGCACCAAGTAGTGATTTGGTTTTTATTTTCTTCTCAGAATATTATCCTAAGCACCCATTATACGAAGTTATACGAAATGTGTGGAGAATATGGGTCACTCAGCGTGATGAGAAATGTGCGCCTAGGGGAAAAAGAAATTTACCGAGATTAGACAGCATGAACATCTGCGAAACGCCGTAAATGAGATACTATCATGGTGGCCGGACGGACCAGTGTTTGGCGCCCAATAACGTAGCTTCTAGGACATCTTCTGCCACGACGGTGACTCCGATTGCATCGTCTATGGCCTCTGCTTCTCTTCAGCTTATTTCCAAAATTCCCTTTTCAAACTGAGAAATGAGTCTGAGTTTCTTTTATTTTCAGTACACTCAACTTGTATCTATACAGCTCCTATAATGTATCGCTGGTAAAATTTGGAGCGAAATGGTTAGCATCTTTCAGAGGTATCTAATCATAAGAAAAATGAGGTGAACTTTTGGGACGCACTGTATGACCCAAGTGATGCGTTGTTTTCCTAACCGGATTCGTTTCTAAACGTAAGCAAAGTTCACGAATGTGTTATGAAACGAATTCTGCTCTTTATCATCTTAGCTCGTGGCATTTAGAGGTTGTGGAAGATGTTTGAGATCAAAACTATACCAATTCACTACAATTTATTCACCACAAATGATGAAGAAGGAATATAATGTTGCAGTATAATAAAGTGAACTCAACCGTTTATCTTACTAGCTTTAAAGTTTTAGCACCATTATACAACATAAACAAGTAAATTCTATGAGTTGAGTGGGATTAAAAAACGAGCACATACTGCGATGAAAAATCGATGCACGTGCAATTAACAAAATACCTGAAAATACAAATACACTGCTCCACATAATTATACAGCCACCTATGAATTCTGCAAAAACTCTTCTCCTAAGATGTGTTCGAAGAAGCCTCTATATGGAAAAGGTTGTAGGTATAAATGCTATTTTGCACACCAGCACAGAAGTTCCAGCTTTGAAATTTGAAGGAAGTTTTTCTGCAATTTTTCGAAAAGCCGCTCTGACCTATTCCGCATAATTATAAAGCCACCCCATACTTTCTTGTTGCCTTTCTTTCCTGCTCGATTAAATTTTTTGTTGTTATCCACACTTCGTCTTTAGGTGAAAACAAGAGGGAAACCGTCATCATAATCAAATAAAGGCAAATGGTAACAAAAATCGTGAAAGAGTTGAGAGGCAGTCGCACTGCCCGAATTTCGGGCCAAGTTTGCTTCAGAGTAAACAATTTCTTCGAGCATTGTGCAGGATATGGAGTAAAATTGAGCCTTGGAGATCGTTCTTTGCTTTCGGATTCAGATAAACGCCGTCTCATGAGAAAACCAAACAGTTCCATCAAGTTGTGCTCGAAAATCAAACCTTATTTGGAATTAATTCTCCAACCGGTGTCTGTTCGGCGTCTGTGGCAGAACTGCAGGTTCATTCACGAGTGAGAAATGTAAAGCGCATTGTTTATGACAACAAAACATCTCAAAAAATGAGACAGTTTTGTCAAGAAGTGAAGCCGAAGACTGGAGTGAGGTCGGTTTTTTACCTGTCATTTCTCACGATTTACCTGCCTTCTTTTAAAGTTCTTTATCGCCGGGTACGCTTCTCTACAAAAAGTTATCACGAGTAAGAAAATGTTTCGAGAAACGCAGACAGTTACCATTTGCCTTCATTTAAATTATGGCGACGGTTTTCCCCTTGTTTTCACCTAAAGACGAAGTGTGGATAACAACAAAAAAATTCAATCGAGCAGGAAGAAAGGCAACAAGAAAGTATGGGGTGGCTTTATAATTATGCGGAATAGGTCAGAGCGGCTTTTTCGAAAAATTGCAGAAAAACTTCCTTCAAATTTCAAAGCTGGAACTCTTGTGCTGGTGTGCAAAAGAGCATTTATACCTACAACCTTTTCCATATAGAGGCTTCTTCGAATACATCTTAGGAGAAGAGTTTTTGCAGAATTCATAGGTGGCTGTATAATTATGCGAAGCCGTGTACAAAAGATCAACTCTTCCCGTCAGTTGATTAATGAAAGAGAAACATAAATAACAAGTTGTTGGGTTACATATAAAAAGGATTGAATGCTAGTAAATAACCAATATCCATGAAAATGCTGACAAGATGAAATCCTCGAAAGTATGAAGGATGAGGTGACGTTTCTAAAGGCAGTGGAACAGGTAAGATAACTGAGCCATCTTTACACGTCAAGAGTTGTATTGGCAACCACAAGCTGCTCCAAGAAGTCCACAAGCTCCTAAAAAACAGTATCGCATCAGCACTGCGTCCAACACGCACACAATAACACCTCTGTAAAATGCTGTAAAGTTTTTCAGCTCAGACCGAGACCTCAAGCTGACATAGCTTCCAGTCATTAGCAAGATCCGATATTTTAAACACAGTGTGCAAATAGCTGGCAGCCCAGCGAGGTCAGTGTGTTAATTGATTTAGTTGACAGATATCGCGTTTCAAAATTGCCAGTACATGTCTCTGGACCTGGGGAGAGTCCCACATTGTTACTTATAAAAAAAAGAAATTCACTGAACACTGCTGAAACAACAAAGGAACGTACATAGCAGCGCGGTCTCAATGAGTTAATGCTACAATGCTCGTGTAGAACCAATTCGATAAGGTATCTGGTCAACTTTCACCGCAACTGATATTCCAAAGAACCCATTTGATTCTTGAAACCTAACGAAACAAAAAAAATTGCAAACCTCAATAGCATGACTTCGCAACACACTAGATGGCACTAGCTCAATCCTTTGGTGTTTCGGTTCCGTCCCTTTGTACTGCACAGCGTACAGAAGGCGAGATCCGTCTTTATTGACGCCTAGTATATCTTCGATTTCCTTTCCTTGCTGAAGTTTGTAAACGCGATCCGTTGAATCTAAAAAATATTATGAATTATCCTATAAAATTTATGGGCGGAAGTGGTGTAGTGGCAAGTGGCACGCTTACCACGCGAGCGGTCCGGGGATCAAATCCTGGGTCGTGAGTCGCCCGGGCCAACCAAGCCTTCCATCCCTCCGGGGTCGGTTAATTGGTACCAGACTTGTCTGGGAGGATAAAAACACTGACTTGTAGGCTGGCCCCCGCAAGTCATTGTATAGGCCACATCGCATTCAAACGCCACTACGAATGTACAAATGGAAGTAGAATGCGTGCCGCATCCCAAAAAGGGATTGATCAACGGCAAATGCTTTATCCTTTTTATCCTTTTTATGTATCT